CAGGAATGTGCATTTCATTGAACAGCTGCAAGCCCCTGGGAAGGCTCTGTTAATCAAATATTTGTCTGTTCAGTTTGGGTCTTGGGGAGGAATGGGTGGGGGAAAAGAAGAGACAGAGGAAGGAAACCTTGTATGATCTCAAATATGCTTTTTTAAGCAGCTATATCAGAGGTGCCAATGTGCCTTTCCACATTAGTGACAAAAAGTTATCTAATTTGCTAAATACAAGAGCAAGGGAGAAGGAAGCGAAGCATTCACTGTCATACCACAGTTCAACAGCTTTTACTTCATCTTACAAGGTTGTTGGGTTTTCTAAGTGTACGTTTTTTAAAAACGTTTTTAATGTACACATTAAATAAAGCAATGTCAAACATTGCTTTTGCTTGTCCCTCTCTTCAGCTGTCCCTATAATGGACTTATGGCAGAGCAGTACTCCATTTATTAACTACCAGTAACATAATAAAATATTCACTAATGACAGTTTTAACATGGGGGGAAAAAATGCCCAAGTTTAATTAGAATTACCCTCTGGAGCCAGAGAGTCTGGAATTCTTGGCATTGTACTTAATGCAAGATACATTCATGCATTACATCAGGAATGACATTTCCAGTGTCATAACTGCTAAAATGGTATCCAATTTTAGAAGTCCCAGATTAGTATAATCTCTCTGAAGTTGAGAACAATATTTTAAACACAGCTCACAGAGATACTATTTTATTTACGAAACAGGATAGAAAGATGCATTCTATGAAGTGTCACAACAAAGGTAAACAGCTTTGTAATAAAGCTAAGAAGAAAGTACTTTTATATCAAAAATAGTCAGCTTGTGGGGAAACAAAAATTCAGCACAAAGGCATGGCAGGACTTACCACAAAAACAGCAGCAAAAAGAAAGGTCACTTTATCTAAAACACGTCCAGTCAAATATTGCAGAAGTAGGCAGCCTCCAGGCATTTTAGTGCACAGCTTCAGCAACAAGGACTCTTAGAACCTCACTAACATTTTGCTGGTACATAAAATATTGTCTCAGTCTGAATTTTTTTTACCTGAATGTTGAAAATGCAAGCAATCCTGATTGCACATCGTATACCCTCCAAACAAAGAGAGGCAACTTCTGTGTCATCACAGTCCTGTAGACCCACACTAAATGCAGCTAGAAAAGGTGTCCACGCCAACTGGAATGTATGCAAAATAAAAGATACATTAGCAACTGTTATTACTTGAAGGGGACGTTATAATTTGACATCTTGGTTAAGTGTAAATTCTGTGCTTAACTCACACCATTAACCTTGACATTGCCTTTTGCAAAAAAGGAAATGCAGTAAATTAAGTATTAACCATAGAAGTATAGTTAGAAGAGACATGAGACACAGTCTATGGCTGAAGTAATGCAGTTTGACACTGCCCTCAGAAGCACTCTCTCTCAGCAACCAACACACAGAACCATCTTCAGATAAGCTGGAATTAAAAACAAAACCCAAGTTGTCAGTTAGATGTCTACTAGAGTTTTGTTATTCCTGGCATAACCTTTATCTTTGCACAGTCAGAAATAAAGACAGAATCAATAGTTTTTGCAAGATTCATCACAGTGTTTAATAGATTCCTCTATGATGAAAAGTATATACTTAATTAAGACAAATGTGCCCTGATGACACCAGAAGTAAGGGCCCTACATCTTTTTCTATCTAAGCCACTGTTGATGTTTCCCATTCCTCTTCCTTTAGGTGGGACTGACAGAATAAATTCAACTAAAATTTATTGCAGGAGTCCACACGGTCCTGGTCATTGTGGACATGGTCACAGCTCCCTCTCCCACAGGCAGAAAAAACAAGCAGAAGATGCAGAGGATACTGACATAACTACATGTGGTTATAGAGAGGAAACCACAGGGTACCCAAAATGATTTCACAAATAATTTTGCCTTAAGTCACCCAGATTAAATTCAGAGTCAACAGGAAGAGCAAGGAGCAACAGATTTCAAACTTTATTTTATAATAAAATGATGCACCACAGAGCTTTGGTTTCATTTAAGTCAGCAGTTCCAAAAACACTACCTCAGAAAAGCATTTAACACACACACCAAACCGTAACTCTAGGACAGTATTGAGGGCATAAGACGAACACTGAGATGCAGGAATTAATTCCCTATTACATGACTTTTAAAGGCCCTTTTCAACACAAACTATTCTATGATCCTATGTTCCAGAAGTGTTTGTTGTTTTTTTTCTCCCTTTTCCAATTTTTCATTAATACTGAAATAAAAACTAATCTTAAAGATCACAAAACTGAAATACTTTCTTAAGAACTATCTAGAGATCATCATCGTATGCTTTATACCTAGGTTTACACAGTTATTTAAAATAGATTATTTTGTCACTAGAGGTGAAATGTCTGTAAAATAGAAAATAAATTTTGGACTCCTAATAAACTGAATTTGTGTTCTCTTCTAATATTTTAGCAAATCTATCTGCAAATACAACGATAAATTTTATGCTGGCATCAATGGGTGAAAGAGGTACCCAGAAGCTTTGCTGAAATAAAAAAGTATAAATAAAAAATGTGAAATTTAAATATTTAAATTCATAGGTCTCACTTTTTTTTTATAAGACAGCTCTCTGTTCAACATATTACATTGTCCTCAGTACTCCAATTACTTTATGAACATCCTCAATTAAGATTACTTCTTTGCACCTTTATTTACCTCAGTGCTTCATATTTTACTCCTTTGAAAATGCATTTTGTAAATGTCCTTTTCAGATCCTAAAGGCTATGAGTGTTAGGGAGTAATAGGGCTTGTATCATAAAGAAAAACAGTCGATGAATTTTACAGATGCTTCATACAACTAATTTCATTTCAGCCTTAAAGATGTCAACAGAGAGAAATTATGTACAGTACACCTCTGCTAAATGACACCCTGAAAGTAGATCTGAAAGTAGATCTGAAAACAAGGGCTTAATTTAGCATTATTCTGTACAGTTACTATCCTGCTGTTAGTAACACGGCAGTGAAGAATTCAGAAGCTTGCCTCGTGGACAGCAATCTTATATTTAGGTCCTCAGAATGTCCAGGTGCTCAAAAAGGTCAACAGCAGGGTCCAAGTCTTACAAGAAGCATCAGAGAGAACTGGGGTTGTTTAGTGTGGAAAAAAGGAGACTGAGGGGAGACTACTACTATCGCTCCCTACAACTACTTGAAAGGAGGTTGTAGTGAACTGGGGGTTGGCCCCTTTTCCCAAGCAACAAGTAGTAAGAAAAGAGGATACAGCCTCAAATTGGGCCAGGGGAAGTTTAGATGATTGTATATTAGAAAAAATGTATTCACTGGAAGGTTATGCAGCACTGGAATAGACTGCTCAGGGGAGTGGTTGAGTCACCATCCGTGGAGGTGTTTAATAGATGTGTAGATGTGGCACTGAGGGACATGGTTTAGTGATGGACTTGGCAGTCTTAGGCTAACAGTTAGACTTCATGATGTTAAAGGTCCTTCCCAACCAAAATGATTCTGTGATTCTTGAGCCTGGGCCTGGAGCTCAATCTGACCTCAGAGCACATCACTCCAGGGAACCACTTGTTTATTGTAATGGTAGGGATGTGAGATTTTACCTCTCTGAGGCAGTTCACAAAGGGGTCACACGAGGATCACTACTTGCACAAGGGCAGCAAATGAGGTCACAAGTTAAGGGCGCAACAATTTCTTATGGTAGCAGTTAACCTTAATGAGTCAGTTATGCCACATACGGTATCCAAAAGCATACTGAGACATAACACACTACCGAACATACTCTGTAACTATGACTGAATCACTGGCATGGAAAAGGCATTTGGGAGGTGGATAGCTTTGCACCTACACAACAGTAAAGACAGGTGTTTAGAATAATGGTTTAAAATAATAAAGGTCCAGTTACCTCCCCGAAAACTAGATGACAGTCCTGGCCTTTTTGAAACAGCAATTTGCGACACACAACATTAGACTGGAGCTCATTCTAGTTATTGTTCTCCCAAAATGCAATGAAGTAATCTCCCTTACAAGCAGTAGGAGGGACTCAAACAATTAAGTGGTATTAGGAATCTATCACTTTTACACTTCTTAGTTTTAACTACCCCTCTATACTCCAAAAAAATAAATCCTATCATTTAAGGTTTTTAACTACTCTTTATACTTTTGTCTTCCTCAACATACTCCTCCTAACTCCTCCATTCTATCAAGAAGGCCCCCAAACCCTTCTTCCCTGTAGCAAGCTAAATAACTTATAAAACTATGAAAACAGAGACACAAATCTTTAGTATTTTCAACAATCCTGTCAGTTGGTACTTTGTATTAAGATACTAGGTAAGCATCTAAACACGTATCTCACCTTAAACATGGGTCTCACATGCTCCAGGTGTGTTGCACTAGTAAAAGGTGCCTGAACATGGCTCACTGCCTCCATAAGAGCTTTTGCTGTTTTAGCCATTTGTTCCATTTCCAAATTATATAGGAGTCTTCTCTGCTTTTCACTAGCAACACCTGTAAACACATTTTTTCCTCTCATTTGTGCATCTTTAGCAGCAGCTGTCTTCAGAAATATAATAACTCCATGTTTTTCATTAAGTGCCATACACAAGATGCATTTTAAAAATTATCTTTACCGTCTGAAATTACTACATCAGCAAGATATTTATTTTATAATATAGATACAATTTAACTTAAGGCAAGCTTATGTTTGAAATGTAACCTCATTTTAAACCTTTATAGAATTTTAACATTTGCACAACAAACATTTCTTCTCCATCATCTCAACTGACAGCATAAATATCACATCCACTAAGCCAAATTCAAAGTGAACAGAAGATTCATGGTAATCCATCAGCACAGAAAGTAACAATAAAAGTAAGTGGACATATGTTTTCTGAAGGAGAACTACCTTAACCTTCTATTTCAGTAATGGAACCTTCATCCCATCAAGAAAGTGAAACCCAAGTAGAATACAACAATCAACATCTTAAAAATTACAGTAAAACATTCTGTTAATTTAATGAATATTACAAGGAAGAGGGATTCTGTTTTCCAGATGCAATTTTCCTGTAAGCAATCCATTCATAAGGCTAAACTAGGCATTTAAAGTATAGAAATTTTACTATGTTGATAAGAAGTCAAGTGTCTCTTGATGTTCTCTGTAGAAAAGCTCAAATGAGTAACATCTGAATCTACATATTGTGCAAAACAAAGTTTTTCTGATACCTGAGAGATGAAAAGAGAATTAGAAGTGCAGAAATTAGGGCCCTACAAATCAAATAATGCAAAATTTATCGAAAAGACAGACTGGTTATTGCAAGAAAACACAAAGGTTACCTTAGAAATAGGGTGTGTTGTGCACTATGCTTTACAGCAATGCTTACTTCATTCATCAAGCCCTAAAATGCATTTCCCTTTGCTGCTGTTCAACAGCAGAACACATCTCCTCCATCTCCATGGCCAATGCACTTAATATCAGGAATTCAGATGCAAAGGAAAACTAAAGTAAGCAGTTGCATGCAACACAGATTTGGAAGTAGCATCATGCATTTATGTTAAAAAGATATGAAATTACAAGTTAAGACTAATTTTGAGTTGAGTAAGTGGTGCTTGCTTCATTCATCTCTCATTTTAAAAAGGAGATAGCTTAGTGAAACTAAAGAGTCAACATGTTGAAGAAAGCTAACACTGCAACTACTTACTTTGTTTACTAGATTTTGTGGGTATTGTTAACTCTTTTGTTTCTTTCATTGAAATCTTCTTTCCAGCTATTTCATTATAGATGGCAGATAAATATTCTTCAGGGAGATCTTTACTGTCATTGATACCTCTGTTCATTTTAATATACTGTTCTTTTGTCATTTTATTCTTAACCTGAAACCCATAAAAAAGTTATTAATATCAACAAATAAGGCAAATTCATAGCAGATACAATGCAGTCTATAAAGCAGCCGAACAGATGAGAAGTTACCATCAACGACAAACCTGGTGATTCAGAAGACAGTTTTAAGTGTCCAACATACGCAAGACTACACTGTCAAATCTACAATATAACACAAGGCCACGTGGACACTACCACACGCAAACATTTGCAGATCAATTAGACATGCATTTAAAAAAAGAAGTGTTTTCTTACAGACCAAGCTAACTATTTTAAAGATCTCTAAAGAGTTCAATAGTCTTTCCAGATTTTGCTTAAATAAATTACGATGACTAATCACTGCATTTTTTAATATTATGCACTGCAGAAGAGCAGTATTTATCAAAATAAAGTTGCAGGCTGAAATGAGGAGCAGATTTGTTTTAAAAACAAAATAATTATACAAGTTCTGGCTTTGACTGTAGGTTAGATCACTACTGTAAGTGCCATAATAAGAAAGCAAATCCACACAATTGCTAGGAAAATGATACCTTACAGAAAGATCTGTAAAACAACATAAAAATCTCAACATCCATGAAAGACAATACTGTTACTTTAAAAGATTCCCAAACTTACACATGTCACTTGGCCTGAAAGTCAAATGACTATGGAATACATATTTTTCTAGCAACATACCTGTGGACTGTGAAGATCTGTTGTCAACATGATAATTGAGTAAGCTAAAACATATGCAGTATCCGCACTAGCAAAAAGAGTTTGCCTGAAGGAGGAAAGGAGAAAAAGAACAGCAAATATCATCTGTTACGATTTTTTACTTATTATTCAGCTTTCCAACATTCTGAAGACGAAGTATTGCTTACCCTTGGTTACATTCTAAATATCTAGCAGCAAATTTCTCCATTAGGCGATCGATTTTTTGAGCCTCTCCTGGAAGACGAAATCCCTCTAGAAACATGCGCAGAGCTGAAACAAAATCCTTTCCTGAAAAGTCGTGTTGGTCTACATATGCATACATGACTTCTTTGTTAAATTTATCATTGTCTCCCAGGAACTCCCCAACCTGAGTCTACAATAAGAACAGAAAAGACAAACTAGTGGATTTACACTGAAAAAAAAAAAAGTAAATAAGAAAACATAGCCACACTACCCTTATGTCTCACAAAAACAGAGGCATGTATGCAGTTAACTAAGACATATTTCTGCTTCGCCTCTACTCTCTAAGGCATTTTCAGAGAATCACAGAATTGCTGGAGTTGGAAGGGACCTCTGGAGATCATCTAGTCCAACTCTCCCACTGCAGTAGGAGAACCTAGAGCACTTTACACAGGACTGTATCCAGGTGGGTTTTTAATATCTCCAGAGATGGAGACTCCACAACCCCCCTGGGCAGCCTGTTCCAGTGCTCCATCACCCTCACTTTTACATTGAGTTTTTACTCATATTTAAATGGAACTTCCTGTGTTCCAGCTTGTACCCATTGCCCCTCATTCTGACACCAGGAACTACTGAGAACAGCCCGACTCCATCTTCGTTGCACCCACCCTTTAGGTGCTTATATACATTGATACAGTCTACCCTCAGCCTTCTCATCTCTAAGCTAAAGAGTCCCAGCTCCTTCAGCCTTTCTTCATAAGAGATGCTCCAATCCTATCATTTTTGTCACCCTCTTCTGGATTCTTTCCAGTAGTTCCCCATCTCTCTTGAACTGTGGAGCCCAGAACTGGATGCAGTATTCCAGCTGTGGCCTCACCAGGGCAGAGCAGAGCGGGAGAATGACCTTTCTTGACCTATTGGCCACATTCTTCTTTATGCACCCCAGGATTCCACTGGCCTCCTTGGCAGCAAGGGCACACTGCTGGATAATTTACTGTCTATCAGGACTCCAAGATTCTTCTCCTCCGAACTGCTTTCCAGCAGATCCATCTCTAACCTATACTGATGCCTGGAGTTTTTTCTTCCCAGGCGCAGGACCCTACACGTGCAATTTTGGACATTTATTCCATCATAATGCTCTCACATGCCCATATCTGCCTACTTTCTTCCTTCTCTGGTTTTACTCATGTAACATTTTTTTCCGTAAGATGAATTCCACATGCGTACAAGACAAAGTCAGTATTACCAATGATTTTTTGTTCTCTGATGTAATGATGTTTGTAGTTAGGAAACTTATTACAGTAATTAAAAGCATACTAAACTCTAAGAACTTACTAAACTTTATTCCTGCTAGAGTACAGAGTTCAAATAGATGCAAGTGATGCTCAAACATAATAGCTGGCACTCAAAATACATCCAAGTTATCACTGTCAACGCAACACAGCATAGTGAAAAATACTGTGCATTCAGATAAGGATGCCTGTATATGTAAACCAAAGTTAAAAATTTGTTTTGATAGCTGATTACAAGTTCTAATACTCTTAATTTGTGACTTCAGTCACAACTGGAAGCATGGGCATGTGCAAGCCTTTCCTTAGAGAACAATAGGGATGGTTACTAAGCACAACAGTGCAGACTATAATTTCAGAAAGCGGCATTTTTAACGACAATACTAACATGAGATACTCCTACCCTCTTCAGACAGACATTGCAGTACCCTTCTTAGTCCAGCAACAGATGCTAGCTGTAAGTAAAATCAAACAACTAGTCTAGATTAAATAACTTTCCTTTGGGAGGCAGCAAAAATGCTTTTCATGTTGTTGCACCGTGCTATTTTATAGCCATCTCTGAAGGACACTTACATCTGGTAATCCCCTATTGGATTAAACTTCAGGCAGCTTAGTGAGCTGCTCCTAGCTGTACTAGCAACTAAGTAAAAGTTTTGAGTCAGCTCAAGTTGGTCAGAACTTCAGGATGCATGTAGTACAGGGCTTAGCTCTAATGCACACTTCAAATTCCTTTAGCTTACACATTTGAGAAGAAGAGAAGTTTCCATTTCTTCTTTGCACTGTAATGTTATGCACTTTAAAATACTATAACGTGATTTGCAATTAGTATAAAAACATCAGCATGAGCAAAAACAACCATCAGGAAAACAGTTTTCTTACCGAATCTAATCTTTCCTCTTGATGCAAGAACTGAGCAATATCTTCAGGAGTAGTGCCAAGCATTCCTTGTTCTTGCAGGTATTGAATCCCCCTCTTTGGTTTCTTATTGAATCTGTACAATCAAGATCAGAATGGAATGAGAGTCAACCCATTTACCCATGCACAAAGCCTTACCAGCTGAAGTAGAAAGATATAATAACTGGATGAAGTACTGAAAATCTAGATATTAAATATATTTTCTTTATCAAACTGTGCATTAGATAGGGATGAGCTATTACCTTCTATGATTTTTCCTTTAATCACTGGATAATCTAATCGTATTTTTCACCTGTAAAAGTCTCCTCTCTACCATGTAACTGACAGCATGGCATCCAAGCAGCTCCCCAGTAAAGAGAGCTAAACACTATATTTTACACTGGCACTTGTGAAGACAAATATGTTCCACAGAAATATCAGTCTTGGCTTTAAAAAAAACAATTATGCTCTGCTGCTTTTTGTTTTAATCGATATGAAACAATAAAAAAATCCATGAGTTGTCTGTGAGAATGGAAATGCACAAGACAAGGAACCAGATAAGGAATGAAACTGAAACCCAAAGGACTAAGGGATGTTTGTGCAAGCTCTGAGAAGTATACAACAGAAAACTTTTACTTTTGCATAAAGGGGCCTTACTGAGGAGGTAAGATGACGAGGCTGAAATCACACAGAAGATACATGGCAGACTGCACTAAGAAATTATACTGTCTTCCAGTTCTAATTGTGACAAGTTAATTAATCAGAAGGAAGCATCAGCTTAAGCATATATAGGCCCTTCTACCAGTAAACAGGTTGTATTCAACTGATCACTGAGTTCAATGTTCGTTTTATCCAAACATAAAAATCTTAATTCTTAGAAAAGCAGGCCTGGAGAAAAAAGAACAAACATTCAGAGTACTCATCTTCTAGCTGTGAGGAATTAGGTTAACACAAAACACTGTTGACAGGCTCCAAAGGGACACCACTCAGCACTCTTTCACCAGAGGAAGTGCTGTTACATCCAGAGTTTTTTTCCTAACACAAGATGAGTATCTATGAGGAGAAGGAAGAAAAACCCAGGAATCTTCGTAGCTCCAAAAGAATCCACCCACCCACGGGTGGTAAAAGAGCACTCACAAGTCAATTCCTTGTTCTATTATTTCCTTTTGTTGCTTTAGGACCTCAAACTGCTCTGGGTTGTCAGTGCCAGACATCTGTGTGCTGTAACTGCCAATTCCTGATGAAGCAGTAGAATCCAAGGAATTTAAGCTTCCATATCTGTTAATTGTCTCAGGGTGTTTAGTTTCATTGCTGTCCTGTTCTGTGGGTTTTTCTTGGCCTATAAATTGGAAAGGGTTATGTACATACAAAATACATACAGTGAAAAGAATTAAAATGACAGGTTAATTCTTCAAATGCTCCCTGAAGGCTTCTAAATCTTACCATCATTATCTTCAATGATCTAGTTATTTTTATATAAATATTTTCATTTTGTTTTGGTTGGGTAAATAATAACAACAACAAAAGAATAAAATCACTAACACATATCAAGGATTCTTTCAGTCCATCATATACCTGAAATTTAAGCCTGAAATTGTAACTATAAGCACTTAGAAAAAAATACGACATCTTAGAAACCCGATTAAAGATCTTTCCTTTTATTTTCATGTCTGATGTCACTTCTGACCTGAAGCAAGTCAAACTATTCTAAGGAACTCACAGAGAATGTCTAAGTGCTTATGATCAGATATGCCAAGGACCTGGTGCTCTCAGCTGACATCTCTAAAAATGCTATTATTTCACATACCAACTTCAAGCACTTCATCTGAAAATTATGACATAAACTTACTACTTTCCATCTCAGGTCAGATGGAAACAAGATTAAAACAAGTGGTGATTTAGTACTTCACTGATAACAATACTGAAAGTCCTATGGCTATATAGTAATTTAAAAAAAAAAATGCTCTCCATCCAGCTTGCTTCAGTAGTAATTTAACCAATATGAAGTTAGATTAAATTAGGGGAGCTTCAAAGTAAGCTTTGTGATATTTTTGAAACTAGAGTTACAGAAAATAACAGGATTTAGTAATTCTCAGTATAGAAGGAACTAGGAACTCATTTATAGGAACTGATAAAATTTAAAAAAGACAACTTGGACAACTTGTTCAAGTCACACCAATCCAAACCTATCAATAATTCTAGCAAAGAAAAAAAAGTTTATTCTCTCTCTTAATGCAATAGGTTTTACCAATCTGGACACTAACAACATCAAGATACTGGAAAAGTCAATTAAACTCCTGCAGCACCACTTCACTAAAGCCAAAAAAACCACATCTCATGCCTTACCAAGTGTTGTCTGAGAATTGGGATTTACATATTGATCCTTACTCCACTCCACCATGCACTTCAAGATTGACACTAAGCACTCCAATCCTTTTTTTCTCAAGCTTAATTCCTACAAAAGATTTCAAAAGCAATACATTAGTGGAATGGAGAGTTTAGTCTGGAGCACCTCTCCTATGAAGATGGGCTGAGACAGTCGGGGTTCTTCAGCATGGAGAAGAGAAAGCTTCAGGGAGAACTTAGAAGCCTTCCAGTACCTGAAGAAGCCTACAGAAAACCTGGGGAGGCACTTTTTACAAGGGGGTGTAGCAATAGGACAAGGGGAAACAGTTTCAAACTGGAGGAGGGTAGATTTACTTTAGCTATTGGGAAGACATTCTTCACTGTGACAGTGAGACCCCAGCACAGGTTGCCCAGAGAAACTGTGGATGCCCCTTCCCTGGAAGTGTTCAAGGGCAGATTGGACAAGGCTTGGATCAACCTGGTTAAAGATGTCCCTGCTGATGGCAGGAACGTTGGAACTAGATGATCTTTAAAGTCCCTTCCAACCCAAACTATTCCAAGAGTCTATGATTCTATGCCAAGAAACATGAAACTTTCATAAAATTTGCTGGAATTTTTACCTGAACATTGGACATGCCAAGTTCTTGGCTACCCCTTCCTTGAGCAATCTTTGATAGGTCATTAACCAGTCTTTCAAATATATTCGCTGCATTTAAGTCACAATCATAGTTCACATAGATGTCCACTACGCTCTGGGCATCTATAAACAAAGTAATATTGTCAAATTTGAAACAAAAACTACATCATTCAATAAAAGGCAAGCACAGTTTTGTTCTTTAGTATGAAAGTGTAAAAACTAGACCCAAATGGTCCTTAATACCTGCACATATCCTTGTCAGCGTCTGTATAACCATCCATTTATGATCAAATGAGCTAGTAGAAGTTTCCAAGATATACAGGAAAATTTCTTTGAAGAAAACCTGATAAATATTCCAGAAGGAGGGAGGAAAAAATAAAATCTATTACAAACACAGTCACTAACTTTCATGGCTAATATTCTGACATAATTATGAAAGCAGCACTTTAGAGGTATAGGAGATAAGAAAAAAAGGAGGAAAATAATAAACCATTTATGCTTGATATATTCTAATTGGGAATTAAGAATTGTTACTTAGATACTTTTGGAATTTTTTCCAGCTGAAAACTTTGGTTTATAATCTGATCACTGAAAACCAGAAGAACTTAGAATTATGTGAAGCCCTGTAGGACAATTCAGTCTAATAAGAAGGCTAAGCTGCTGTTAAGAGTTCATTTTGGGTTATGAAAAGAGAGGTAGCACTTCACCAAAAAATATTTTCTGTGCAAGGTGAAAATATGGCACAAACATAACAGCCACTTATGCCAATTTAAGTATCAGACCTTCCTGATCAGGAACAGCATAAAAAATACATCAGGTCCATTAATAGGAAAATTACTCTTCCCTAAAAGAGCTATAAGTTTTCCCTGAAATCAGTTTAATACAGATATTTTGTTTGGAACAGAGACTATTTTATCCTCTCTCAATTAGTTCTTCACCAAATGCATTGGTATTACAGGCTATTTCAGGTGAGCATGCCTAGCAGAGCTAGGGAAGGCTTTTTTCTCACTTCTTCTCTAAGCAGCAGCAACTGCTGTAACAACGTATGAACTGACAATGTGAAATGCTACATGGCATTACATCACCATCCTACACAGCATTACATCATAGTTCTGAACTTCTGCAAGCCCACCTCTACACAGCCAGCTGTGACTACCACATCCACCAACATACGCTTTTTCTAGAATACTGCTGATAGTCTCAAGCCATCAAGCTTCTATTCTCTGGCAGCACCATGCAAATACCCGAACAGGTAACTAACCTTGTTTTTAATATTAGATATTCTCTTATGCCACAGAATTTTAATAGATTGTTTTAATATTAGCAAGGTAGAAATAAGTGCAGGGGTAATTCTGTTTTAAGTCACTTGCTTGAGGAAAATCAGCAACACTGATTTTTAAGCGACTTCAATGTTAAGCTATTTCCTCAAGCAAAACACGCTGACAGTGTTTCCATTCTATTGGCCACGTTAGACAAAGAGAGACACACAGTGTGATCCCAGCTACTGGTCTTAGTAACAAAGGCATCCCTACAAAACACTAGGAGTTCAACATGTAACAGATCAAAGACTTCCAAGTGCTCAAATACCCTCAAGAGTACTGATTTTAGCCCCAAGTTCAGATAATCCCAACAGAGGAAGATGTAAATAAGGGTCATTCCATAAGCAATCCTTAGTTGAATATTTGCTGTTTTATGATTTTTTACTACAAGACAGTAACGTTATTTACAGTCTGGAATCAGGAAGTAATTTTTTCTGGTAGAAAATTTTAAAAAAGAAGTTACTGATGGAGCAGAGAAAAAAGTTTCAAGTATAAAAATTAAACCCAAATCTAAGCAAGGAAAGAAATTTTCTGGAAGGTCTGCATACTACAAAGACACTTAAAATCTTTACGCTTCTGTGACAGAGCAGATACTTGTTTCTCGTGTCAATGTTGGATGAATTGAAAAGCTTCTCAAAACTGTATTGATTATTTACATTTCAGATATTTAAAAATTCTGTCTATCACTATGTTACTTATTTCAATTCATGTCACAGAGTTGAAACTTTATTCCTAGCATATCAGAAAAGTTAACTACAAAAGAGATGATTATGTAGTTTGGTCAACTGAAAAAGAGTTTTAAGATACCTTATTCACAGTTATGAAAAGGTGGTAATAGTAAATATAGCTAAATGACATCACAAATCCCCTGATCTAGGACTTGATTTGCTACAAATATATTCACTGACTCACTTAGAAATACAGTTACAGTACAATTAAAGTACAACTCTAACTTTCTGAAGGCAGTGTTAGATGAACAATTAAATGAAAGGACCACTTTGAGGGTCATTTTCAAAAGAATTGGAAACTATTATTTTAAAGTATGCAAAGATTTCTTGCACAGATGAAGAATGCAGCCTTAGTCCCAAAATATACAGATTTTGCATATTATAAATCAGAGCATATGGCTCTCCCTACAGCTCCAAGACACAAACTTAATGTGAAGTTATCTACTTGTCTACCCACATCCTGTAAATAACCTTTAGGATCAGTAGCTGAAAGAAGATGAATTCTTAGCTCACAACAAGGAAGAAGAGTTAGTTTCTAGAAATGGCTGTCCCACGTACTTTGTAATAGATAAATACTTTGGCAGCTCCCGAGCTTTTGACCTTCATACTTGTGAGTAGGAAACACAGCCCTGCTATTTGGTGATGGTCCTAATTTAGCACATCCTAGAAATTGCTACAATACTATAGTGCATCCTATATCAAATTTTCCTCAGATATGTCTTCATTTTCTGTTTGGAATAGTGGGAAAGGATCGCAGCTCATAAAATCTCTGACAGGGAAACTGGATTGCAATCCATTTACCACCTAAATGCTGACTTGTAAGTTCTGTGAACACACAGCAAGGCCAGCATTTTCTGGGAAGCAGGCTGTGCAACTGAAGAGCTGCTCAGCCCAGTCTGTCTGACATGCAGAACACTGCACATGCACTACAGTCTTGTTAAGCACACATCATTTGGATTGAAAGTCTTTAAAATGCATCATATTTTCAAGGCACACTGAATCATTCCTCAAACCTGTTTATCTATCCAAGCTACGCTCAAGGATATACTGGAAATTCTGTTGTTTCTTCCACAAAAGGCATCAAAATACCCCAGTAATTGATGATAATACTGATAGTGTTCTACAACAGAAACATTATACTCTATTGATGTGTCACTGATAAAATAAGGTTCTTCCTCCAAAGCTGCCACAGCACATTAACTTATACAATGACATTCACAGGTGAATCCCTGAATTCAAGGTCCTTACAATGACAACATGAACGACATTTCTCAGCATCTCTTCATGTACTTAACCTCCAATCTTACGGGGTAATTTGTAGGCTTCAGTATTCACATTAACTTCCAAAACATAAAATTACCAAAATGAGTAGCAGGAACACACTGCACACACCCACTACTACTTCACTCACCATGAAATTAAGATCTTTAACACATGGGACACATAAGAGACTACCCATGTGGTTCAAATCATCAGAATCGTTCCAAGAAGCTGCTCATACCTTATGACACAAGAATCAGAGGTCTAGAACAAAAGCTCTGTGTACACCTTGCTTCCCCTTATGACTTAGAATACATCCATCCAGTAAGTAAATGTACAGTGTCTGTCAGGACTCAAGGTAACGCATATTGCTAAGAAAATGGACTTATCTCTACTTATGACCCAAGGAGATAAATAGTGAGTACACTTTCTGAGACCTGAGGAAATAAGATTATGTTATTCATTACATACCTTGATGTATGCCCTAATAATCAAAGGTAAGTGGCTACAATAATCAAATAACTAGAAAAGGTAATTAGTTTCATTAACCTCAAAGGGAATCCACAATGCATTTCAAGTCACTAATTTTTATTCCAAAGTTCCTTTGCAAAACCACATATTACATCGTCTTTTCTAATGTGTACACATTTGTATTATGAAGTGTAGAGCAAAATCTTCCTAATCACATGACTGAACATCAGTTGACTGAAATATTCACAAACCTTCTCACTTCTGAGTTGCAGCATCATTCTGTGATAATACTGTGTCACGGTCAACAGAAAACTTGGCTTCTAAATAAAGGAAACTAACTCATGTAGTCATAGTAACAAGTATGGGTATAGTAAGTTGCAAAATACACCTCAATCAGAAAGAATAAACCAAAGCAAACCAAATTTCTCTAAGCAAGACTGAGCTACATACAAATATAAAGAAATGCTCACTTAAACACTACCTCCCCTTTAAACTAGAAAGCCACGTAACATACCTCAATCTGCATCTTTAGATGAGTCTTAAAGTTTGAGAGGAGGGTAAGAAATATGGAAAGTGAAAGTTCAAAAACTTCTGGAACTGATGAGACTCCATTTTTCGACAGTGCAACACAAAGGTACTGCTTAATAGCATTAATAAACATCTCATTTGTCCTGAATACAGGTCCTGCATTTTGCAGAATGGACAGAAGCAACTGCAACGAAAGAATCTTTGATCGCAGCTCATGAGATCTAGAATAAAAAAAAAAAAGCAACATATCAGCCCAGTGTACATCAGAAAAAAGAAAACACTTTCTTGACAAGTCAATACACCACAATGATTTCCTATGTGAAATGTTCATGAAACTAACTTAAATTTGACACAACCTGGTGTAGGAAGCATCATGGAAAGATGCTGATAATTTTTATTGACATGGCCATTCTTCACCTAAGAAGGTCGGCAAAAACCCCTTTCTCTCCATTATTATTAAGCTTTTATTATTGCAGCACAACACCACATAACAGCAGCAACAGTAGATAATGCTGCCCATCCTAGCCAGAGGATGAAGGGAGTATTTTTTCCTTGTAATGGATTTTTCAAAGCTCCCATCTAAAATACCCAGCCCATATACAGAACCCAGTATACCAAAATGCAGAAATTCCTCCTTCTCCTGTATTTCCACCAGCATGGAAAGAGAGCTAAAGGACAACAAAGGCAACAGCTGTAGTTGCCTCACCTACTTCCTTCCAATGTTGAAATCTCTTTTCTCTAATACAGTATTTTATATTGTTTATCAGTCACTGATCCCATCCCTCTGCAAGAGCAGATAAGATACATAATATGCCTATTTTAAGCATGGCAACAGCAAAGTCAGGCAACCGGAGTGTTGTTAAGTGTGCCACAGTAATGTTGTGCTTCTTATTGACTGAAGTGAGTTAAGAGATGATGTCAGAACTGTGCTATCATTTACACTTTAAAAAAGAAAAGAAAAAAAAAATCAAAAATAACAAAAAACCCCAAAACAAGCACACAGAAAGGCATAAAGGAAATCTGCATCTATGACAACATATCACAGTTTAAATAGCATTCTGGCCAAAAGCGTTCCCTCCTTAGACTCCTGATGCTCCTTCCCACTTCTAATCATCTCAAAAAAAGACTGTAGCTCTTCTGAAGAAGTGGCCTAGACACAAATGGCTTTTCCAGCAAGGCAGTCTATAGCTTTCAGCTTTCACTGAACAACCACCTGCTGGCAGAGGACACAGTCATGAAACGTAAGGAACAATGATACGAAAATTTTCACAGTACAGCCTAGACCCAGTAGGGAGCACTTCAAGTTAATATAAATCAACACATGACACACACAATAATTGAGTATTTGCTGCGTACTGGAAAAATACAAGTTTAATGAAAAAAAAGCAATTCCAGTCTGGCTAAAAACAAAAATACAAATTAATAACAAGTATGTTGCAAATAAACTCAATGGTTTCTACATGCTGGCAAAGCAGAATGGGAGTGGAAAATCTGCACACATTTTAAACTCATAGAATATAAACTCAAACTTTTTGAATGAAGACACTTTTGAGAAGCAAAAAAAAGCCAGTCAGACTGAGTAAGGAACTTGGTCCTTCCATTCTTCCTAATGGGCTGCATGTCAAATGTCAAATTAAATGCCCCCAAACAGCTCCCTATAGGAGTTTTCCTAGAAAATGCCTGGCTCTGGACACTGCACAGCTCCATGGAACCTAACATAAAAATCTCCTTTGATGAAAAGGCTTGAGTTTTGCATCACATCGTAGCAAGTGTGTAGACAGCACATGATCAGATCACGTTTTGCTATGAAACATAAAAAAAAAAAAAAAAAATTAGGTTTAAATTATAAACAAAATATTAAATATTGCCTGCTTCCAGCAAGTGTCAGCTCCTAACTGCAGTCCTAGCTTGCTGGCCTTACCAATTCTGTATGACACATAAAGCCCACTTCATTTAAAAGAAGTTTAAGGACTAATATCTAATATGTGAGCTTTCAGGATATTTCTTCCCCATCTTATTTTGTTCCAGGGAAAAAGGAGATAAAAGACATTAAGCAGATTCTCAGGAAGCACAAACTTGATCTCAACACCCAGACTTGTGATTGGAAGCTAAAGCTCCATGTCCAAATACTTAAAATTTGAAAATCTGAATGTTTTCATTAAAGACTTCATAGCTAATTTCACTGTAAAGATGATTTTTAAAGACGCAGTTAATACTTTTTAAAAATGCTGTAGATATCCTATGCCTCCTCTTCCAACTACAGTATTTTTGTAATAGTTCAAAAAGCCATCAATGCCTAAGAACCACTGATAAATTCTAGGCATTTCTCCAAACACAGGATGTCTGTAAATGCCTTTGCAGCTAATTATTGTTGCCCTAAATGCCATTTCCCCCAATTTGTTTTATATGAAGAGCTTAATCAGTTCTAACATGAACATCAAGAACTCCATGGATTCAGATAAGATGCTCCAAGTGCCTAATAGCTACTGCTGCTCTTCCAGAGGAAGTTAATCATTGAATCATAAAGCCTTTACTAAATGGACTGTCTTAATCCCAGAGAATGCACTAAAATCCTGTGGTATTTCCAGGAAGACAAATTCTCACAAATAGTGAGGAAAAATGTCATGCCTTAGTCCTCATTCTTGAATGTCCTGGCTTTCCATAATCAATCACTAGTAGGTTTGAAAATGGTACTAGACTAACCCTTCAGAACTCTTTCTACTACATTAAGTTTTCAGCTTATTAAATCCATGACACATATTGGTGATTAAATTGAACTGTCTTAAAGTCACCTGCTTTAAAAGTTAGACCTTGGAACATTAAAACTGATTTTACTTTGAAGGATACTGGGCCTTAGACTGTCATCAGAAGTTGTATATAATACACTTTTAATTTCTTAGAAACAAAAATGCAGTCCTCTTGAAAATTATTACAAATTGTTCCCAATGTGTAAAAAATTATGCACATAAATACTATCCAAGATCAGAAAAGTAAAGTTCTTTGCCAACACTCGAAACTAATACTGGCCCCCATCTATAGAGGGGAGTATTTTTTTGCTTGTTTATCACAAAAAATTCTCTAAACCAAACTGAGAACATGGCACCTTCAGTCAAAGTTCAAGATTTCCAAGACAGCCAAATGAAGACTTGGTTCTCAAAAACATGTGTTTTGATTAACAAGGCTGCCAAAAGTGTCCAACCTGACCTAAAGAATTGAAACACCACATCACGAATTTATCATAACCAGTATCAGCTCAAACTGAGGAGCTTATAGTAAGATGAACTAGAGCAAGGTGTGTGGACTGGATAACTAATATGCAAGAGATAAGAAACTGTGAGGCATAAACAGCAAGGGTTACGAGCCAAGATATTAAAAGCAGAGAAACATTAAGTGAGATAAAAAATAGCTGAAGATCTTTTTCACAAACCCACCTGGAAAGCATGATGAAGAGCAACTAGGAAGAACATTATGTACTTACAGGAAGAACAGGTATCTTTAAGAAACTTCTATCAGGTACTTGGGTAGAAATAGTTGCTTTTGTTTACCATAAAAAAGATAAATTCAAACATAAAACCACCTTCTCAAACTTTCTAGGTTCACTTTAGCATACCATTATCAATAACTGAGAAGACTCAAAAATATTTAATTTATTTTTCTTTTCAAACAGAAAAGATTCATTATAAGAACTCCTCCCTCTACTTACTTTGGATCTGGTGGTCCATCTGACAGTGGCTTCATAGAGAGTTTACACAGTGACCTGAATACAAGGAAGGCATCCTTTTGTAAAATGTGGGAAAACTTAGCACCAGGGGTAGGTCCTGAAGAATTTCCAGATTCCTAAAGAAGTTAACATATTTCAGTATTCCATTTTGCATTAGCAGGGTGTGTAGG